GGTGGAGCAGCAACACGGGAAGTAGATTAGCTTGATGGGCCAAATGGAAGTGATGATGCTACTTCTTGCCTATAAGCAATACTGGGGAGCTATTTCCCTCCTGAGGGATTCAGTCCTCTCCTCTCTTCACCCATTGGAATCCAGGTGATTCATATTAAATTTAAAATAGAGGAAAAAACTGAAGCATGCGGCCATATTAAGTTATTTAAATGTGCAAACCACCTCCTAGTTTACTTCTTTAATCGCAAGCCTAACTCTCCCTCTACTGACCCCTTCTCCCACCTCCAACACACCTCCTCCTGGACACCACCCCAAGGCCTCCTACCCTCCCTCGACCTCTTCATTTCCAACTGCCGTCGAGACATCAATCGCCTCAACCTCTCCACCCCTCTCACCCACTCCAACCTCTCCCCCAAGGAACGTGCAGCCCTCCGCTCCCTCCGCTCCAATCCTAACCTCACTATCAAACCCGCAGACAAGGGAGGCGCAGTTGTAGTATGGCGCACTGACCTCTACATCGCCGAGGCCAGGCGCCTCCTCCTACCGCCCCCTTGATCATGACCCCACCCCCGACCACCAAAACAGCATCTCCCAAACCATTTACAACCTCATCACCTCAGGCGACCTCCCACCCACAGCCTCCAACCTCATGGTTCCCCAACCCCGCACCACCCGTTTCTATCTCCTTCCCAAAATCCCCAAACCCGACTGCCCTGGTCGACCCATTGTCTCTGCCTGCTCCTGCTCCACTTATCGCCACTTATCTCAACTCCATTTTGTCCCCTCTGATCCAGGAACTCCCCACCTATGTCCGTGACACAACCCACGCCCTCCACCTCCTGCCAAACTTCCAATTCCCTGGTCCTAAACACCTCTTCTTCACCGTGGACGCCCAGTCCCTATATACTTGCATTCCCCATGCAGATGGCCTAAAGGCCCTCTGCTTCTTCCTCTCCCGCAGGGCCAACCAGGCCCCCTCCACTGACACCCTTACCTGCTTAGCCAAACCCGTCCTCACCCTTAACAACTTCTCCTTCAACTCCTCCCACTTCCTACAGACATAGGGGGTGGCCATGGGTACCCGCATGGGCCCAAGCTATGCCTGCCTCTTTGTAGGATACATGGAACAGTCCATCTTCCGTAGCTACACTGGCCCCATCCCCCACCTCTTTCTCCGTTATATCGATGATTGTGTCGGCACCGCCTCGCACTCCCATGAGGAGTTCAAACAGTTCATCCACTTTATTAACACCTTCCACCCCAACCTTAAGTTCACCTGGACCATCTCCGATACCTCTCTCTCCTTCCTGGACCTCTCTGTTTCCATCTCTGGCAACCACCTGGAAACTGATATCTATTTCAAGCCTACCGACTTCCACAGCTACCTAGTCTACACCTCCTCCCACCCACCTTCCTGCAAAAATGCTAACCTGAATTCCCAATTCCTTCACCTCCCCAACATCTGCTTCCGAGATGAGGCATTCCACTCCCGGACATCCCAGATGTCCTCGTTTTTCAAGGACCGCAACTTCCCCTCCACAGTGGTCGAAAACACCCTCAACTGCATCTCTTGCGTTTCCCGCAACTCATCCCTCACACCCCCTCCCTGCAATAACAACAAAGACAGAATCCCCCTCGTCCTCACGTACCACCCCACCAACCTCCAGATTCAATGCATCATCCTCCACGACTTCCGCCATCTGCAATCTGACCCCACTACCAAGGACATTATTCCCTCCCCGCCCTTATCTGCTTTCCGGAGGGACTGCTCTCTCCGTGACTCCCTTGTCCACTCCACACTCCCCACTGGCCCCACTACCCCCGGCACTTTTCCCTGCAACCGCAGGAAGTACTACACCTGCCCCTATACCTCCCCCCTCACCCCCATCCCAGGCCCCAAGAAAACCTTCCACATTAAACAGATGTTCACCTACACATCAGCTAATGTGGTATACTGTATCCGCTGTTCCCAATGTGGCCTCCTCTAAATCGGGGAAACCAAGCGGAGGCTTGGAGACCACTTTGTGGAACACCTACGCTCAGTTCGTGACAAACGACTGCACTTCCCAGTCGCGAACCATTCCAACTCCCCCTCCCACTCCTTGGCCAACATGTCTATCCTGGGCCTCCTCCAGTGCCATAACAGTGCCACCCGAAGGCTGCAGGAACAGCACCTCATATTTCGCTTGGGAACCCGGCAGCCCAATGGTCTCAATGTGGACTTCACAAGCTTAAAAATCTCCCCTCCCCCGACCTCATCCCAAAACCAGCCCAGCTTGTCCCCGCCTCCTTGACCTGTCCGTCTTTTCTCCCACCTATCCGTTCCTCCCACTTCACTGACCAACCCCAACCCCACCTCTTACCTCCCAGCCTCATCTCCGCCTGTTTGACCTGTCAGTCTTCCCTTGACTGACCAACCCCAACCCTAACTCCCCACCTACACTCACCTTTACTGGCTCCATCCCCGCCTCCTTGACCTGTCCGTCTCCTCTCCACCTATCTGCTCCTTTTTCCAACTTCCATCCGTCTCCCCCCCTCTCTATTTATTTCAGAGTCCCCTTCCTCTCCCCCATTTCTGAAGAAGGGTCCAGACCCAAAACATCAGCTTTCCTGCTCCTCTGATGCTGCCTGGCCTTCTGTGTTCATCCAGCTCTACACCTTGTTCTCTCAGATCCTCCAGCATCGGCAGTTCCTACTATCTCCTAGGAGCAGAATGTCTGACCCCCTTCATCCCTCCTTTATAACATCTGAAAAGTGTGAGAACATTTTTCTGGTTTGAGATTTTTAACATTTTCATATGTCGCCTGAACTAACCTTACCTTGTGGGGCTTCCTAATCAGCACAATGCCTTCTTTTACCACCATTCTGCTATTTATATGCCTAAAGAAGACTTTGAGATTTCCCTATCTGTTAGATGCCAATCTTTTTACACAATCCTTCTTTAATTATCTTATTTACTTTTTCACCACTATTCTGAACCTTCTGTATGGTTGGTTCTTATTTGCATTTTCTAACTGGCACATATCATCAATACACTTTTTCATCTTTAATTTAGTCTCAAATAGCTGACAATCTCCTTTGTCAGCCAGGGAGCTCTGGATTTGTTTCGTCTACCTTTTCCTCCAAAGGGAAAGTTCAGGCATTATTACATCATGAATGTTAATAACAATTAGTAACATTTGAAAGGCATTCCTTCATCATCCATATTGACTTGTGAACTTTCTCCAACTCCATATTTTTGATCATATTGACCCATTAACATAAAATACTCACAACCGCTTTATCCAAATGCCCTTTCTTTTGAATATCAGGATTAACAGACTAATTGAACAATCTGGAAATTCTGTGTACATGTTTCTAAGTCAATTCTTTTACTTTTTTATTGAAAGCAACATCAGCATAAAATCATCATCCCTCCCAAACTATGTTTAAGAATGTTAATAAGGTCCTGTAAAATACTTTTGGATGAATTTTGACAAGACAGGTGGGACATGAACTAACTTATAACTTAATTTTAAATATTTCCCTTTTGATATCAAAAGTAAATGGTATAAGACTAAATGTAGAATTCAAGAAGGAAAATAAGAGAGGTTAAAAATAATGCAGTGACTAAATACACAAAACAAATCTCCAAAGTAAATTGACCTAGAGTATTGCTTACAGTCATAGAGGTTTACAGCTTGGAAACAGGCTCTTCAGCCCAACTTGTCCCTGCCACCCAGTTTTCACAATTAATCTCCTCCCATTTGCCTGCATCTGGTCCACATCTCTCCGTACCTATATCCCATCCACATACCTGTCCGAATGTTTCTTAAATGACAAAATTTGTTTTGTTATATTTGCAATTGTTGCTGATAATTTTGGTAAGAATTACTTGTTAACCTTACGTTCAATGAATTGTGAATACATCAGAATCATTTTCTTTCAGCACAGACAGCATTACACGACATGCAACAAGCTGGCCATTGTATCTGCAATGACACCACCAGCAAAAATGTAACCTGGGATATAAAAATGCAACAAAATGTTTCTCAGAAATATATTTGAACATTAAAAAGATCAACAATTATGTAGTATAATAGAATATGTAGATGATGATGTTACTCTGACATCAACAGAACAGTAGAGGAGCAGAAAAGCATGTAAAAGAGCAGAACTTGGATTCAGTCAGTAATCTGGGTGGCACGGTGACTCAGTGGTTGGTACTGCTGCCTCACAGCATCAGGGACCCGAGTTTGATTCCACCCTCAGACGACTGTGTGGAGTTTGCATCGTCTTCCTGTGTCTGCATGGGTTTCCTCTAGGTGCTCCAGTTTCCTCCACAGTCCAAAGATGTGCAGGCTAGGTGGATTGGCATGTTAAATCACCCATAGTGTCCAGGGATGTGCAGGTTAGGTGGATTAGCCATGGAAAAGGCAGGGTTATGAGGACAGGGTGCGTAGGGATTCTCTTTGGAGGGTTGGAGTGGACTCAATGGACCAAATGGCTGGCTTCCCCACTGTAGGGATTCTATGATGATTCTATGAATCTATACATATACAAACATAAGTAAAGGGCACTACAGTATTGAAAAGAATGAGGGAGCCATATTCTAGGATAAGGACAAACTAGAGATACCGGAGACCAAGAAGATTGATAAAACTAATGAAAGGAAACAGCTTCTAAAGATGTATGAGGAGACACCCAGCACACCAAGATACGTAGAAATAGTGTCAAAGAGTGCTAGCTGCGGTGCTTGTGTAAAGCAAAGCTTAAAGCAGATTAAACCTGAAGCATTGAGTGAATTTTCTTTTCAATTTTTGATTTAGGTTTCTAGTATCGATGGGTCTTTATACTTCAAACACCATGAAACTGCAAGGTTCAAATAGTATTGTTCATTTGATATTGTCTCTTGGTTCATGGCATCATCACAATTCCTCAATAAGTTTAATGATTTTAATCACTTCCAGGTCTCGCTTTTTCTCCAGTTTTTATTCATAAATTTTTCCCTAATTCATTAGGTGAAGGTGCTTCATTACATCCTTGTGCTGATACATACTGTGGACCTGTACCAGAATCTGAGCCAGAAGTAAAGGCTGTTGCAAGATTTCTTCGTAAACACAAGAAACAAATTCAAGCATACATTTCATTCCATGCATATTCACAAATGTTACTATATCCATATTCCTATAAGGATGCAATCATTCCCAATTTCAAGTGTGTGGTAAGTAGAATTAACCTGAATTAGTAATTTCAATTTATTAACTCTAAGTGTTGTCAGATAGTTTCTGTTTCTGTTCAACTATGAGCAACATGATTATATAATTGCTCCTGAGAGACTTGAATGCACTGATTTGGCAGAAACATATGTTGATATATTTGTTGCTTACTTATTAAGCAATAATTAATGGCCAGGATACAAATTCACATAGGATTTATTTGATTTGTATGTTGTTAATTTCACAGAGTTGAAACTGCTGTAAAAGCAATGAAAGGAGAAAATAATAGTCTAGTACTGAGCAAAACATGATAGTTTGCCAAACTAGTGTTTGAGTGAAGATTGCATAGGTTTGGAACTATCATTTGTGCTAAATATATTTTTGGAAGAGAGGGAGAATGGACAGGAGGATGTCACAGCTCAGAACTTACAAAGCAGAAATTCAAGATTGTCACTATCCATTACACCTCATATGTTGCTGGTGAGGTACTGGTGCTCTATTTAAAGAGAAGCCTCTCAAAAGGTACATGAATTCAGACCTGAATCCAGTAATGTGATTCTGATGTTGTCAAAGAGCAGTGACTACAATATAATTTTTTTACATTAGTGGCTGCTTCAAGATGCTACCAGCTGTCTGGTGTGACAAACCAGGCATGGACATAAACCCTTCACCTGGATATTTTGCCCATTGGCAGAGGAACAAAGAGAGATTAGCTTAGGGTTTTGATAGAGCTGAGTATCAACAGCATATGGGACTAACCCAATGCTTCCACATGATATAACTTGCAAATTGTGAAGTGGTAAGTTTGGGGATAAAGCCTTGGATTGTAGCAATGTAGAGTTTGTAATACTGAACCACAAACTCTGTTCAGTAGTACCCCTGAATGTTATGAAATAAAGCTTTGAGCTACCTGATGCCATAATACCTCATTCACTAAGATTCATTAAGGTGTTACAAAAACAAAGTTGCTGGAAAATCTCAGAACTCTGAGGAAGGGTCACCGGACTCGAAACGTTAACTCTGTTTTCTCCTTCACAGATGCTGCCAGACCTGCTGAGCTTTTCCAGCAACTTTGTTTTTGTTTCTGATTTACAGCATCCGCAGTTCTTTTGGTTTTTATTTTGCTCATTAAGATGCTACATGCCATTCATTTCTGCTCCGGCCTGCTAATGATTCCATTCCACACAACATGATTGACCTCTAATGTTTTCTGAATGACCCATCAGAGTGCTCCATTGTAAACATGAGATTGGTGGTAAACTGTCCCACAGATTAGTAAAAAACATTGCATGATAATACTCCCTGAATCGTTATTTAACAGAAAACCTTCATCACAATTCTTAGGTTGGCTTGAACTCATTGACATAATGGACTCATCAGAGGGAGCACTGTATTATACTTGGTATGGTGCAGCTTTGGCATTTTCATATTGACAGTGGCCTTAATGGCTTCAGGTTGAACATAGCCAAGGCAATATCTTGCTGATGACCAGACAGTTCTGTTCCCTGTGTTTCTGACTCATTAGAACCATTTCACGTTCAAAACTAAAATTGCACCTGAATTTTACAGAAAAGTAGACCATTCATCCCAGTAGTCTGTTGCTTATGTTTCTGTTCCACACTGGCCACTTCCTATCTTACTTCATCATGTCCCATAATGAAATCCTTTTATTCTTTTTTCCTCTATGTACTTACCCAGCTTTCTCTTAAATACATTTGTGCTATTCAATCATTGCCATTCCCCATCCCTGACTCTTTGCTTTCCTCAGTGTGTTTTTGTCAAATTTTGACTTCCGAGATCCTGGACTTTTCTGGGCATCAGAATAATGTTTCTGCTCTGGATTTCACCCTAAAACACAACTACTGTGTCTTTTTTCTGTTGCTTACATTTTAATGTAACTTTCCACCACCACTTCAGTTCTCTGCTCAACTTGTTATGGTTTTTCAGCTTCAGCTGCAGTAGCATTCTACAGCAAGGATTTACTTTCTTGGACTAAAATACATCTTTATGTCACTTCCCCACTTTATAGTGATCTTGAACTGCACCATTAGTATTTACTGTCCTGTGACCAATTCTCTGTACCTCCTGAACTGTTATTTCCACAGGTATATCTTCATTAGTACATCGTCTGATAACCAACCATCTAAATGTCTCCTGAACTTGAGTCTTATGTCAAACCAGTCTCTAAATCTGTATAAAAATTCATCAATATCAATTCTGTCTGAATGACATCCATTTTATCGCATTAAAGCACCTCCGACTTTAGCATTTGATATCCTCCTAGTGCCTCCCTCTCCTTCATTTACCACCAGGATAAATTCGTCCCAATAATTATTACATTACCAAGTGCAAGTAACCTGAGTTTTCTTTGTGTCCATTTGGGTGTGCATTTTATCTGTCAATACAGGCTATAGACAATTTCCTTTAGTTCTGCCTTTTTGTCTGTTTTTTTTCTTACTACGTTGCTGTTCATCCCTCCTAGACAATGTTTCTTTTTTCTGTGCCTCCTCACATTCTCCCCTGTTGCTAACTGTACTTTGTCATATTTGCATACCACTTGACCTTTCTACTCTCCTGCCACTGATCTTAACTCCCTCTTGCTAAGCCTATAGCTTCCTTTCCCTGTTATCCATTGAAGTGATTACCAAGGCATTCATTACTGTTTCTTTAGCAACCATAGCCTCAACCACCCTATTCTGCTCCCTTGCTCTCCTTCACATTCTGGCCAGGGCAATCTGCGTTCTACACCAGATGATCTTCACTCAGCCAACTTGTTCTCATCAGCGCACACCCTGTGGCCTCCACCAGCTGATGAGCTATCACTGCCCTTCTCTGTCTCTGCCTCCAGAAAGTGCATTCACTTGAGAACAAGACTCTTTCAATCCTTAAATGTTTTCTCACTGAGACATCTTCACTGCTTTCCTTTCCCAGTCTCTGTACTGAATTAATTTTCATCCTCAGTGATTTCAAGCTCTATTTCAATTCATCACGTTCTCTTTCCTCAGAGATCACTTCTCTTATTCGCCTCTCTCTCTCTTTCTTTCTCTCTCCATATAAATTCCCTATAGCATATTCTTTGCCGAAGTAAAACAAAGAATTGCAGGTGCTGGAGATCTGAAACAAAAACAGAAATTGCTGGAGAATCTCAGCAGGTCTGGCAGCAGCTATGGGAAGAAAGCAGAGGTAATGTTTGAACCTAGCAACTTTTCATCAGAACACATCAGAACTCTTCCAATGAAGAGTCATTCCTGCAGATGCGGCCAGACCTGCTGAATTTTTCTAGAATTTCCGCTTTTCTTTCATATTCCATGCCACCTCTTTGACCTTACTATCTCAAGTAGCCTCACTACACTCTCATGTCAATCACAGACAAGGCCATTTCTAATCAATTCCTTGGAATGGTGTCCACACACACCAGCTTTTACCTGGGTAATCCTATTTCCTTCTGAGCACTCTGCAGGAAAGGATATTCTTCCAAATCCCGAACAGCGATACTTTCAAAATCCCAACTGACTAACCTTCGACCCAACAGTTACCACAACATTTCTGTAGCCACTAATTCGCTCAACCAAATCCTCACCTCCACACTTGATGACCTGTTCTCCATTAAAACCATTACATTGACTTTCGGAGATAGTAGGAACTGCAGATGCTGGAGAATCCGAGACAACAAGGTGCAGGGCTGGACGAACACAGCAGGCCAAGCAGCATCATAGGAGCAGAGAGGCTGACGTTTCGGGCCTAGACCCTTTTCTGATGAAGGGTCTAGG